CCCGACCCACTTCCGGAGAGCGGGGTTGGCCACGCCCCTCCGCACGTCCGCGCAGCCTCAGTCCCGCGCCGGGAGCCGGTGCCGCCGTCGCGTGGGGCTGTGCGGCTCTCCCGCAAGGCTGGGCTCCTAGGGGGCCGGCAAGTCAGCCGACAGCTTAAAACCGCGATTAAAGTACTTTTTCTTGATAAACTGATTTCTCTTTCTGAGCTAGAGTACACCCCAAGGAGACAGTCCGCAGGTATTCCTTTATTCTCATTCATTCACTCGGGTAGCTTCAGGTGCTGAGGGTACAGCGGCCAGCAGTATTGACAAGGTGCCTGCCTTCAAGTAGCTTGCTTCCTGGGCAGAGAGACAATATGGAAATATTTCAGAGAATGCTGTCGGCAGTAATATGCCCGGAGGGATGGCCTGGGGAATTTCCACTGTGCAGCCGGGAAAGCCTCCCTGAGGAAAGTCCCTGGAGCTACAGCGATGAGGAGCCGGACTGTGCTGCGGGGTCTCTGGTGGAGGAATTTGCCCGAAAAGCCGGGTGGGCTCGCTGGAGGAATCAAAAGGGCGGGGAGGCTGACGCGCGGGGAAGCAGCTGGAAACTGGCAAGGTAGGTATGGGTCTGGTCAGGAGTTTGGATTTCACTGCCTGGCAGTTCTGTCTCCCAAACCCCTGCGTGGAGCTCTGAGTACACAGACAAGCCCTAGCTGGGAGGTAAGCAAACGTGGAAGACGCAGAAGGTGTGGATAATAAAATTAATAAGCTCATGAGTAATTGCGGCCTGTGGGCCGAGAAGGGCAGCGTGGCCCGGTACAGAGTTATGGTGCTTCAGACCCGCGGCAGCAGCGCGTGTTAAAGAACGGATCCCTCTGTGTAGAAAGATGAGTCGCTTAACTGGTCTCACCAGCTTTAAGTGTCTCTGATGAAAGTGAGGTTAAGTTTCTTCCTCTTCATCCAAAATTTTGTCTCCCTTTTTTTTCTAAAGGATTTTCTTCAAGTATTGCTTTGTTTTTCCAATTTGTGTATCCTGAATCTTACCAAGCAATACACCCCTCTCGCTTTGGAAAGTATCATGTGATGTATTTTACGGTTATAAAAGTTATGTTTGGTTATTGTGGAGATTTTGAAAAATACAGAAAATAAGGAAAATTTAAACCACCCATATTTTCACCCCTTAGAAATCAGCACTTAGATGTCAATGTTTTGGGGGACCCTCTAGTCCTGGAGTTCCTAACCTGGGCTCCATGGATAAAAAGTAGTTTCATCTTTAGTTTTATTAACTTCTAATTAAAATTTAACCTTTTGATTATGAATGTAGGCCACAAACCAATTAGTATTAAAAATACTTGCAATTTTTGTCACCGATAGAAACCCCAGACATTTTCATTTTACAATAATTGTTAGTTATCTCAAAATGTCATTTCCACTCATCCCTACTTCAAAATTGCAGTAATTATTAGACCCAATGCTAGATCTTGTTATTTAATGTGTCAATAGAGACACATATTACTATAATGTTTAAATAGTTTTATAACTGTATCTTAATTTAGTTGTTTTTAATCCTATGTATTTTATTCATTTTAAAAACATTATTGCAATAAGGGAGAGATCCATTAGATTTACCAGAATTACAAAGGGTCTGTGGCACACAAAAAAGTTAAGAAGTTTTACAATATAGAGTCGTAGAAAAGACACCAAAATGTACTTAATTTTTTTGAATATTAAATTATTAAGGCTAAATAGTGAGGTGATATAATTTCAAAATCTTTATAATCACTTTGCTCTGTCAGATCACAGCATCATCTTAACTCTGTTATGCAGTTTGGCACCTCAGTAGAAATTGAAACCTATGTATTTGCCATTTACCTAGAAGCCAACTGGGGTATGAAGAGACAAGTTGTCTTGATAATGACCCTGTAAAAACAGCAAAGGGTGATTCTTTAGGCTTTCAGTATTGGACTTCAAAGTATTAACAGGACTCAAAAGTACAGTGGACTGTGTCAGAAAGGAAGGGCAGCTAATGAAAAGAACTTAGACTTAGCTATTGGCAAGTTTCTCCCAGGAAGTTTAATATCTTTTTGCAGGGTCACTGAAGGAGTCTCAAAACTAATTCCTTAGTAAATTCAATTGTGGAGAAGCAGGAAAAGGAAGCATGAGAAACATGTGTACTTGATATTTGTCAAGGTAGGCTAACTGCTATTAAAAAAAACAAAAAACATTTTAGTGGCTTAACACAATACATGTATATTTATTGTCTGTCTACAATTCCATTTGGGTGTTTCTGGTTCAGATGGCTGATTCAGAGACCCAGGCTTCTTCGGTCTAGGGGGGCCTCCTTATGGTCCTCTTCATTGGATCCTCTGCTTCTGGCAAACAGATGAGGGGCAAGAACAGGATCACACATGGGAGGATTTTATGGCCAAGCCTTCCACCTATTTTCCATTGGCCAGAACTCATTAACATGGTTCTACCTAACTTCGAAGGAGGCTGGGAAACATGGCCTATCAGTATGCCTGACGAGGAAAGAGAAGGGATTTGATGAACAACCAGTCAGTCTTTGCTGTACTTTCCAAAGAGTTCTGGCTACAAGAACCAGAAATATATTTGAGTGAGTTGAGCATTGTGGTGGCAGTACATAGGACAAATCTGACTTACTTTTCATAAGATGGATAATTATTTCTACTGGCAAAGTTATGCTTGGGACCTGAGTATCTGTAAATATGAATAATAGTCAAAACCTAATCAAATAATTCAGTTAACTTAATTTTTATGGTTCATGCTGGATTCTTAAAACCCGTTTAGTATCTGCTTATACTTAGGGATTGAAAAGTTGTTCTAAGACTGCTGTCTTATACTGTAGTTTTTATTTTATTTACTTCTTTATAATATACTGTGTTAACAGAGTAGGTCTCCTATTTAGGACCACTTACCCTAGGGGAAGAAAATTAAAGGCCCATATAAATATAAAGGAATCCCAAATAGGATTAAGTATTGCTAATTATACCTCAATTTTTTAAAAAAAAGCAAATGAAATTGTAAAATTTGTGGCAATTGAGTGAAATTGGTCAGTAAGTTAATTTACTTTGTATATAGCATATTTTATCTTTCCTTGTTTAGAATTCCATTTTGATTTATCTATATAGTGTTTGTGGGTATGTAGTGTTTATGTAGATTTTTAGTGGTTGCTCTAGGTATTACATTATATATACACAAATATTTTAGAAAAAACCGTCTTCCTCCTGTGTTTCTCCTTTACTCTCACACTGCTACCACACTCACAATACTTCTGACACCAAATGTGTGAGGGTTTTCCGCACCCCAGGAGCAATTTTCTGTGACATCAGCTGGTTGAGCATCAACACATGCACAAAGAGGTCACTGGTTCAATTCCCAGTCAGGGCACATGCCTGGATTGCAGGGTCCATCCCCAGTAGGCAGTGTGCAGGAAGCAGCCAATTGATGTTGATGTTTCTCTCTCATATCGATGTTCCTCTCTCACACCAATTTTTCTCTCTCTTCCATTCTCCCTCTCCCTTTCTCTCTTGAAAATCAATAAAAACATGTCCTTGGGTGAGTATTAAAAAAAAAAAAAAAAAAGGTCTGCAATTTAGAATTTCACATAAAATTTAGGTTGCTGGTTCCCCACCCCCAAAATAACTAAGTTTGGGGTAGGGCCCAATAATTTGCATTTCTGACAAGTGTGCAAATGTTGATTCTGCTGGTCTGGGACACACTTTCAACACCATTGCCTTATAGTAATACCTACTTATTTTGCTAAGGCTTCAAAAACATTTCTTTGTTAAACCAGCAGGGGGAGACAGGTATAAAATTTATCCTGTAAAAATAAATACACTGCCTTACACTACTAAAGCTGCTTCCAGTTATGATGTTGCCATGGAGACTTCTGAAATATTTTGGAAAGCAGCATGTAAGTTGGCATCAGGAAATATTTGTCAGGTGTTTACATAAACACTTTTCTCTTTAAAAATCAATTTAAAAATTATTTTGGGAGGACTAACA